AAAATTTGCAATTGGTATTAGTGAAGTATCGGAATTTTAAGGAAGAGGTAGTATAGACAAGAGGTTAGATGCATCCTACCTTTCCAACAATCAAGCCCAAATAGGTGGCTTCTATGACATTGTCCCCTGTTATTTAAATAATAACTAGAGATGGGCAATCGAGTGAACGAAAACAACACTTAGTTTAGAGTTAAAGATTTTTGGGAAATGCTTTGTATCATTATCAGCAAAAAATACACAAGTGTGCCGAAAGAAGGAATCAAGCAAAACAAAAGGCAAAAGATGATGATCCAGGGTGTGAAGACCCTCGAGAAATCACGTCTTGACAAAATCACTTGACGATGTGGAAAAATTCAGTAATAATAACAATAAAGCTTTCGCGTTTTAGATGATCGACATGGCAGAGCAATGTTGACCATAGGAATTTCATTCATCCCTATCCCAGGCCCCGTGGAACTCGATTCATACCAACTGATGGCTGTCCATAGAACCAGACTTAAACACGCGAGCGTTTCACCCAGAACCTGATACGTTACACCCACCCAACAGTATTAACCTATGTGGAATGTTCCTAATTAATGAATGTCGTTTTCTGAATCAATGGAAATACCTGAATTTCGCTAAACACACACACACACACACTCAAAGTTATATTCTCACTGAAAAATGAAAAAAAATTCCATGATTCAAGAAGAACTGGAAATATGTTTACCCAAGTTCGGATTTAACCCCCGAAAAGAGCGATGCCTCTGAAATCAGGAATGAGGTAATCGAAATGATGAATTGGGGGAAGGAAAAGACTCTGACATTTGCAAAGCACGGCATTTAAGTCAATTCCGGAAATCAAATTTGATAATTAGCCACCCACTTTGAACGCTGTTGATGAAGCAACCTCCGATCATCCCATCTTAATATCCAAATAGTCGGCATTTAGCAGTCAATAAGGTCATCAGGTAAAAGCGTTCATTTTTATTGCGCGTTTTTTTCTAATATCAACAGGTCAGAGGAGGAAGGATTAGTGCGAAAATTAGTTTCTTTAAAGAAGTTCTAAAATACATACAACTTTGTATGACAATCGATCCCTTTTTTGCATTCGAATGTTTTCCCAACACGGGGTGTGCGATAGACTTACCTCCACGTGGTGCTCCATGAGAAGCGTATACTCATGCCGCAAAAAAGTCTATAAACCGACAGTTGACTTCTGACTTCAACCTACCATGACCCCACTGTATGTCATATTCTACCATTTTCACAATACTCACCTTACCTTTTCTCTGCCTTTGAGCCTGTCTATCTCTTTTATATCCTTGAATCACTTTTCTGTTGACCCTCTTGAATTTTTCTCACTTTGATGTTCCTCCCTTCTGTGAAAGCCAACTCTTTTCACTTAGATGTTCCTTCCCCTCTGTGAAGCCTGAGGTCAACTAAAGGACTGATAACTATCATAAAGCCTGCCATTTGAAATAAATAAATGTTTTGCCAACACAGTTACCGCATTGTACAACTAACCCCCCCCCATACTCTGATCAAAACCCATTTGCATATCGATTATTGATTTTCACTAGTCCTATGTATTTCACGCTCCCGCTTTTATTCTCTGATTGTCACTCTCGACCTTATAACACACTCTTGAGATCGACTTTTGCCTTCCAGTTGACGGATTTCGAATTTATATTCAAGCTGAATCAATGCGGAAGAGATCTATTGTAAATTTTAACAAAGAATATATAATGATTGCCCTGAAATACCACAAAAGAATAAATAAACCGGATATGTAGTGCATGTGAACTCACTCGCATTAATTTAAGAACCAGTGAATTATGTACAACGAAACTCCCAGTAGTATCAAATCATTTATTCGGATGGAGATATGGGGATAAACCACTCCCCCCCTGAAAACGGCCTGACCTTAGCCACTGAGAGGTTCCATTTGCGCAGTATGAATTTAAAAGATTTCGATATTTTGAAAGGTCAAAGGAGAGAGAGAGGGTGAGATAGCATGAAGGAATAGGAAAGCACAGTGAGATTCTGGAAGACAAATTGGCAAAAATGAAGTTGGAGAAGAGGAACCCATTTTTTGACAAACGCAAGACAACATGTAATAATAAAATAACGAGTTGAAATATCAAGTACATATTTCATAAAAAAAAGGAAAAAAAATTTAACGTAGATTAATTTTAATTATGGAAGGCTTGTTTTACCCGACTGAATCGATATTTCAACACGCCACAACAAGCATTAACAAAATCATAAACTGCTACTTGAACAAATTAGACTGACAGTAAAGTAAATATTTGTCTGCAGACAAGATTGACTGTCGCCTAATATTATGCCAAACACAAATCCAGATTTGGTAATGGAGGCGGAGTTTCATAAAACCCAAATATTTATTAAAAGTTGCCTCTTCAATGTTACTAAACAGATATAACCAATAATTGACCTTCAATTGACAACAAACCAATAACATTATTTCACCTTGAGCTAACTCGAGTGAGATCATGCATAATTAAAAGTCCCAACAAACTGTTTGCAGATTATAAAGTTGCACACTAGTTTCAAATTGGCGTGATAAGCCAATCAATTAAAGCGGTGGAACAAAAAGTTTTAAAAATGGCAAAAAATTAACTGCGAGAAACAACCAAGGGTTTTAAATAGGGGAATTAATGGGCTTAGAGTCTTTTATATTCCATATATAGTGGGAAAGCAGAAAAATCGATACATCCAGAATGGAAATAAAAAATGAGTGTTGACATACCAACCCCGCAAACAAAGCCTCCCCCCCACCACCCCACCCCTTTAGCACCTATTTCGTGATCAAATAATGAAATCTTGAAACAACAACTATTACTAATGGTTACATATCAAAATGACATTTATTGCATCTATGGAAATGCCAGCAAAATTTGAATAGAATATGAAATTTTTGCAATTAAAAATAGCGAAGGGAGCATCTTTTTTAAAAAAAATCATGTTCAAATAGGAGAAAGCTTGTCAAGTTCATTCTCAAGCATAGCTTTGAGATTTTGTTCCTGCAAAAAAAGGGCTTTCATTCCGATAGCGCGCATATGGAAGGATTGTAAGTGCATGTATAATTTAAACTTTACTCACAAAAAATATCATAATGTTCACAGATAGCACCTTTCTAGGGTGGTTCATATTCCCCTGTGTGCACGGAAAAAAATGTATGTAAATTTGACTATGCGGTGTGCGATAGACTTACCTCCACGTGGAGCACTCATACTACAAAAAAGTCTTTAAACAGGCAGTTGACTTCTAACTACTGTATGCCATGTTCGACTACTTCCACAGTACTCATCTTTCCTATCCTCTACCTTTGTGTGTGTCTGTCTGTCTCTCTTACATCTGCGAATCACTCTCCTGTCCCCCCTCTCGAATTCTTCTCACTTTGATGTTTCCCCCCTCTGTGAAGCCCGCAGTTAGCTAAAGGGCTAACGATAATTAACAAAACGCTTGCCACACACACACACACACACACACACACACACACACACACACACACACAC